CGACTGACATGGATTGACTTATCAGTGGAACATGAAGCAAACGTGTCGTTTGTGATCCAATCGACATCAAGGGCGGAGGCCGTATGAAAATGAAATTGTTGCACTTGCTGACCTGGAAAGGACTCATTTAGTACGGTAATAGGTCAACGCAGCACCAGCTGACCAACCTTTAACAGCATCCCATACAATGGTCGATTTATCCACACCTGCCGAAAGTATATAGTCGCCCTTAGCATTCCATTTGAGTGCAAAAATAGGACCTTTGTGTGCTCCTAACGTACAGCGGAGACGGCCTGGAAGGAATGGATAGTGAGCAATCTCGTTGCAAAACTAAGCAGACAGGGTGTTCTGCAACACATGTACGTTGGGGCAAGGGCGGTGAAGGAAACAATTCATGCATCGTGCGCGGCATTCGCACCAAAAACGATTGATTCAACGTGGCAATGCTACAGTGTGCTAATTAGCTAAATACTCTATTGTTTGAGCGCGATGCTACGACTTATAATTGCTAAACACTCATGGAGACCTACTCACGCAAAGTAAAAGTGGTCTGCTTTCAAACCCGTTTTCTCGATTTTGAACAGCAATAACTCCGCGAATAACTGTCACGCGCGATTCTATCAAGCGGAAATAATTGAGGGTAACTGTGTCTCTTCTCATCTCAGTTTGGAACCTAGATTGACAAAATTCTTGCATACTGTACTAATTTGTGCTCAAGATCCAAAGTTACTGTAATCGCAAGCGCAGTATTTTGTTCAAGTAAACCAACCTTCGGCAGTCCATATTCTTGCGAAACCATCATAACAACCGGTTGCGAGAAGGTCACCAGCGGCATCCCAATCAAGACTCGTCACGTCCTTAATTAGCGTATGGTAAAATATTTAGAAGCACAACCTTGATATTATGCAACCCCCTTCCCCTCAGGTTGACACTCTTCATATAACGGCACCTTGAAGATTCCTTCAAACGTTTACAGCCAACAAGTATATAAGCAGTAGAGCCAGAGTTTTGTACCTTGTTCGATGGCTGTTGCGCCTTCTCGGATTCCCCAGACGTGCAATGTTTCAGTACTTTCGTGCGTGCTTCAAATTCTCTGGATGGTGTTGCGGGATTTTCTGAGCCTGCCAAGTTCCAAATTCGGGCTGTTGAATCTCCTGATCTGAAGTGGGAAAAACAAAATTTGCAACATTTTGGAAAGCAATATGAGGGGCAATAAGAGGCAGCCGGAATTTCTTCACGAATATCGGCTCCAAATATAACACTGGATCAAACACTTGATACGCTGGCGCTCAAGTATGGAAAGAAATCGACCGCGGGTCGTTTCGAAACGCTGGCACGATCGGTATTAATCGATTTTGGCCAGATGTGCGCGCTTCCGTGCCGCACAAAATTCACTGTTTTTCGCTGAAGGGACAATTCAGAATATGGAAGCGGATTCGAGGTGTCAATTTAGTGGTTTTTGCATAGTTACATATAAGGTGTGGTCTCGTTCGCTGCGGATGACGAGGCGTGCCCGCATGGGAGCGTTTGGCATGGGGTCAACTTGTTTCTTTTTTTCTAACGGCAAGCGACAAGACATATCATATCGTTCGTGTCATCATTTTCCACCACTTGCTGTCACTTACGCCTCTCAGCAACTGGTGGAAAACGGGCTGGCAGCGCGCCAAACGCATCGGTACTGACTTGCCCCATCATCCCAAGCGAACAAGAATGTACACAAAACACATGGTCCTTTCACTCCGCTAATGACTCAAAGGACTCCTTGTATAAAAGCAGAAACAGCGTTATCCAACTTCTGTGCATTACTTAGGCAGACAGAACCGAGCTTACACCTCCGTTGCCGGAACCAATTCTCACACAATGTGTCTTTCAAATGCCACTTGGGTAAGCGCCCGATGAATGTTGAGACGCAGAGATGTTGGGTTTTTTTTCAATTATTTTCTTTTCAGTATATATCGACTATTAAATGTGTCACTTAAACTACTAATCACTACATCGGGCAGGAAGAGGCCGCATATTCTTGCATTTGCAAGATCTACATTTGTGCTCTGGCTTTAAAGAGCAAGCACTCACCCAGATGCCATTAAGGTCCTCGACAGGATTCCATGCACAGATAAACACTTCACTACTGTGGCATTTCAGGAAGCGAACTTTATCTTCAGGAAATTCAAGGGCATCTGTATGGCGGACGCCATTAGAGTCACCAGTAACAGCTCGTGGAGTTGCCACGTCAGTTCTGAAAAGTGCACTCAAATCATTATTTCATCCAACAGACCAAGGAAAAAGCTATTCCAATAATGTGGACCATTTTGGTACCGAAGGCATTAGAAATCACGCAAGAAGGAGGGGAGGGCGCGCAACGACGCGTCGACGCTCAGGCATGACAGAGCGCAGACGACCAGAGTCGGCATGCCATATTCTCAAAGGCAGACTCAGTCGCACTGTCACGTGCCCCTCCCCGAACTACCTTTGCGCCACGTGTACTTTAGTTATAAACGTTCAGGAAACGGAAGCGCTCTTCGATTTTTAATAGGAAAATGAGGAAACACAATCTGCACGATTTCGCACGAAGGAATCGGTTACACCCATAGCAGAACCCCTTCCCGAGGCTTGACAGAAGTGGACACCTCCTTACTCATGTTTCCTTGCACCCTTTAG